AAAGTTGTTTGCGATCCGCCATTAATACAAAAGAAGAAGAAGAAGAAGAAGAAGAGAGGAGAGCGAGCAAACAATGGCGACTGGGCCTGTTGTTTCTCTGCAAACTGGCAGTCCTGCCAGGGAGCTTCCTATTTCGTTTCAGCAAGTAGGAAATCAGACTCTCGGGGATCGGGTAAAATCCGAAGATGTAACAGGTGCGGTCCACAGTTTATTTTTTTATTTGTTTTACCTTGTTTTTAGTATTCTGAAAAGCTCTGAAACGTTGGAAAAGCGACCGAGGCTAACGCAGGCTAACATAACAACAGCTAGTCTAGTCATCCTTTTGATAACTAGTGGCTGATTATTGAATATGCTTTCAGCGATTTGGAACAGCTACACATTTTAGGGCAAAATAAACACACAGTAAGTCGTGAAACGTCAGCATATTTCATTGGACTTGGTGTCTGTTGACGATGTTACAGCTGTATGAGCTAATGACTAACAAAAGCTTCTGGCTAGTATCTACATAAACTTTGCTCAAATGCCAACCGGCTAAAGTTAAAAATCACAAAAATGTCTTCAGCAAAYAATTGAAAGTTGTTTGTTCACATGACTTCATGAAGATGTCATTGCAACAATTTTATAGCAGTGTATAGAGAACCTTTAAAAACAAGTTGTCAAAATTGCACTCAGCTGCAAAGGCTAAAGCATCTCTAACCTGCTGGAGTGTAGCAAAACATTTTCGACTGATTTAAAATCAGACCATGTATGTGWATAATGTCTTATACCCTAATTTCTGAAGGAAATTATTTTTTTAGAAGCAGAGAAGCAGAGTCGCATGGCTGCTCTGCTGGAGAGGCTTCATGCCAAACACAATGYTTCTCGGCCATGGCAGGAGACCAGCAAGGTTGTGCGTCAGGCCATGGTAAGTCAGATACATCTTTCTGTAAATAATGCATACATTCACAAAGCATTACTGTCTTAAAATATGACACAAGTGTAAAACTCTCCCAAATGTCGAAATCCAGTTGAGATTGGCCAGGTAACTTGCTGTCAGCTCTTCTTGTTTTTATTCTAATACAAACTAAATGTTTTAAGCCCACGTTTTGCTCATGTTTTCTCTACTCCTTTTGTGAACAGAATTGAACAAAATAAAAATAAACAAAAACCTGCTAAGCTACTTCTACCTGGGCTTGGTTATCCACACATTATGTTGTCTTACCCCTTTTGCATCTGGTATTTTATCATTTAGACCAGAGGCGAGCAATCCTAGTCATCAGGGGCCACTATCCTGCATGTTTTACTTGTTTTTTTGCTCCAACATACCTGATTTGAATGAATGTRTGATCATCAAGCTTCTGCAGCACTTCAAATCCTGAATCAGGTGTGTTTCAATCAGGGAAACAAGTAAAACATGCAGGATAGTGACCCTCGAGGTACTAGGATTGCCCACCCCTAATTTAGACTGTAATCATATACACATATACTGTTTTAAATTACTGTTGTTAATGAAGAGCTTAATTACAAAGTATTATATTATTATAGTATTGGTATTATTTAGTTGTTTACCATAGTTATTTCTCTGTTATATGATATGTAGACGCTCCTCCTAGTGGCATGACTGTGGTACAACAAAGGCACAACTTTTACATTTTTATTGTTGAAAATCTGAATGTTAAACCAGAGTTTATCTAAGTTCTGAAAATATTTTTATGTTGATTTTAACAAGTAATCCTAAATGGCATTAAACATGGTCATAGTTCTACAGCGGTGCTGTTCCTTAACATATCAAAGCAAAACAGACAAAAATAACACAACATACTTTATGCATATTCAATGGCGTAATGTACATTTTCTACACATTTTTATTTTTTCTGTAGTAACATACATGTAGTGGTTAATATTATGTGGGGCCGGTTACACTCACTCAGCCTGTAAAACACAAACAAACTTGGAATATCAGATATTGGTGATGCAGCTGTTTTTTCCTCACCTGTCTTATTTCTCACCCTCTCTTCACATTGTGTCGCAGGAGAAACGCGGTGTGGTGAATACAGCAGGTCACCAGCTTTTGCTCAATTGCTTGGAGACCCTGCAGAGAGCACTAAAAGGTGAGAATGTTCAAACTGTAGATGACTTAACAGGTCTCTTAAATAGTTCAGAGAAAAAAAATTGTGCTTTTGTTGACTTACGTTTGGCTCTATTTTATTTTAACTCATTACTGATGATGCAGTCGTATTGTAAGTTTTCTGATCGTCTTTTTTTTAGTCTCCTCTCTCTCCTCCATGACTGATCGTCTAGAGTCCATAGCTCGGCAAAACATGTAAGTATGAGACGTTGTGTTTCTTGTATTGGATGTTAAGAACGAACTAGAATAGTTACTGGAGAAACTGAGAGGATTCCCCGCCGTGCAAAACTCGTCCTGTACATGTTGAACATGTTTGCTGTTTAAAGAGGTTCTGACAGCAGTCCTAAAGGTGTATTTGATGTCTGATTGAGATGTCAGCAACTTGTTTGCCAGTTTTTGTCTGTAGGTGTTGCAAAATAACTGTTATAACTCGTTTTGTGTGTATTTTGGCAAAATTTGTGCTTTGATTCATGAAATATTTTGCTAACAGACATTTTTCTATGCTATGTTTGTCATTTGTAAGACTTGAATACTCTAAAAAAGGGGATCAGTTCTAAAGATCTTTGACACTTTGTTTCACACTTTATATTCATTCAGCATATGTAAAATGTGCTGATGTCCAGCTCTTATATGGTAATCCAGGGTTGCTTGGACAGGCATCTTATATCTGAGTTGGACAAAGTGTTGGACAGTGACAGGACTGTCCAATGATGACTGTATTAGAGTTTCATAAAGTTAAAATCAGTGGTTCATGAGATACTTTAAAAAGCATTCAGGTTTAGAAGGCTTTGAGGCCTACTCCATTAATTTCCAATGGCTTTTGTAGGGTGTCTTTGTCGGCCTACTGCGTCGCCATGGTAACAATGAACGTACAGTTGAGTAAGAACACACTTCCTCTGGCCGAGCTGGTCGTTTTGACGTATAAAGGGCTCGACACACAGGGATCGACAAACTACAGCGATTAACGGCTGTCATCGCATCCATCCATCCATTTTCTTCYGCCTATCCGGGGTCGGGTTGCTGTCATCGCAGTCAGGGTGAAACCCGACACACAGGACGCGATAGCGATCACAGCATTGGGAATCGTGCTCTCAGGTCACTTGTCTTCACAAAATTTGATTGGTTCTTGACTCTGAAGGCGGGTGTGCATTACGGACGTGTAAACTAAACAAATCTTGCGATGYTAATGATATTGAAAAACAAACAHACATCAAGATACARTTTTATGWGGAAAAACTTACCATAAACTTCACCCTGGTGCCAATAAATTCCCACAAAGCTTTTTAGTAATCACTTGGTGAAAGTGTTAGCTAACGGCAGTGTGTAGCAYACTCTCCTCTCATTGGTCAGTCAATGAAACCCTCGCTGATTGGTTGTACGCTAAGCGACAAAAATTAAACATTTTACAACTTTCATATGTCGCGTCGCAAGCTCGCATGTGCACGTCTACGTGTACGAGCGTGAAATTTCACATGCACTATTTTCGCCGGTCGCTTAGCTGGAGGAGGGCAAGCGATTGTCGCCTCACCGCACAGTCTCCATAGGAAATGAATGGAGAGTGAGCGACGTCGCCTCCCGTGTGTCGAGCCCTTAACTTATGTGGTTGCGTTCATGTTGAAAATATGTTCTTTCATTTGTATTGAGAAAAAGTGGCCGAAGTTCCTTCGGCTGCTATCTTGTTTTTGAAGTTTCCGCTCCAGTATGTGACAGAGGTTACTCTTAGCTACCAGTAAACCAAGTTTCAGCTCAATATATCAAACAGAAGCAGAGGGAAATCCCTTTGAAAATAGCTATGGTGGCCATCTTGGATTTTTATTTCAGCTACTATTTACGGTTAAGGTCACTGTCAGCTACTTGTGTATCAATTATTAGCTCAATATATTGAAAATTGGCTGAATTGGAGTTATTTGGACTTAGCTATGGTGGCCATCTTGGTTTATTGATTTTGGCTACTGTTAGTGTACCAATTTTGAGCTCATTATGTCTGAAACTGGCTATTTTATTTAATGAAACTTATCTAAAGTCGTGTGAGCTTTAATTCACAAAGATCCAGCTTTAAATGGCTTGAAATGGCAGAATGAGAGCCTTGTTGCTAAGTTAGCATTAGCAGTTAGCTTTAAGTTGCGGGCAGCCATTGATATCGTGTTGAGTTAGTGCTCAGCTAGCAGCCCACCAAATTTCAACTGTGTATATTTTCAGACTGCTGAGCAATGAAGCTGCTATATTCATTTACACAAAGGAAACTCCTCAGCCAATCAGAAAGCTCAGTTATGGTCACACAGTTCCCGCCTCCTGTCAATCAAAATGGTATTTCGCACAGAAACAGCCTCAACCAATCAGGAGGCTGGATTCCCAGCTGCAGTTAATCCGCACACACACCGAACCAGGCACATTTTCTGAAATTAGACAAAAATCCCTACGTTTTGATGTATAATTTGTCTTTGTAACATGAAAATTGTGGCTGTGGTAGGAATTTGTTTGCAAAGTTTCTTCTTTAAAATTACAGAGCTCACACTCTAAGGTCACATGACCTAGAGTGTGGAGCTTCCCATGTAATCCAATGGAGATTTTTAGATGAGTTTTTTGGGGATTACGTCGCCATGGTAACAGATTATGTAAAGATAAATAACAGCACACCTCGTGAGATCGACGCCGACGCAATGATGTATTTTTCATGGGGCGCCGCATTAATGGTGGAAGTTCTGGGATGAATAATAAATAGAGTCCAGTTTAGAGGTGGATAATAATACACTCACCGGCCACTTTATTAGGTACACCACGCTAGTAACGGGTTGGACCCCCTTTTGCCTTCAGAACTGCCTCAATTCTTCGTAGCATAGATTCAACAAGGTGCTGGAAGCATTCCTCGGAGATTTTGGTCCATATTGACATGATGGCATCACACAGTTGCCGCAGATTTGTCGGCTGCGCATCCATGATGCGAATCTCCTGTAAGAAATACGTGTTTTAATATGGTATGTCCGAATAAACAGGATTCAGCTGGATTTCTTGTTAAAAASTTTATTTCAGTCCTCTGACTCCAATCAGCTTCATTCAGCTCTCAGCAGCACAGGCCTCAGCGTACAACCTTGGGCCAAACCAAAACAAACACGGGAGCTCTGCTCTGAGCAGACACTCTGCAAAAAAACGCTGACTTCTTTCTACTGTAATAATGAATTGAGCTTATAATGTTCATCTCTTCCTGGTTACACCCCAGAGGTGTTACCTTTTACATCAGACGTCAGAACGTCGCTCAGTTTTGTTTAGGCTAAGAGAAAGAACACATGATAACACACACTCCAACTCTTTGTCAGCTTCAACCTTACAGACTGAAATGATCAGAAAGTATAAAATACAAAACTGAATCTAATATTCAATTAATCAGTTACAAAATTTCTTCACTCCCGTTCCACCACATCCCAAAGATGCTCTATTGGATTGAGATYTGGTGACTGTGGAGGCCATTTGAGTACAGTGAACTCATTGTCATGTTCAAGAAACCAGTCTGAGATGATTCCAGCTTTATGACATGGCGCACTATCCTGCTGAAAGTAGCCATCAGATGTTGGGTACATTGTGGTCATAAAGGGATGGACATGGTCAGCAACAATACTCAGGTAGGCTGTGGCGTTGCAACGATGCTCAATTGGTACCAAGGGGCCCAAAGAGTGCCAAGAAAAGATTCCCCACACCATGACACCACCACCACCAGCCTGAACTGTTGATACAAGGCAGGATGGATCCATGCTTTCGTGTTGTTGACGCCAAATTCTGACCCTACCATCCGAATGTTGCAGCAGAAATCGAGAGTCATCAGACCAGGCAATGTTTTTCCAATCTTCTCTTGTCCAATTTCGATGAGCTTGTGTAAATTGTAGCCTCAGTTTCCTGTTCTTAGCTGAAAGGAGTGGCACCCGGTGTGGTTTTCTGCTGCTGAAGCCCATCTGCCTCAAAGTTCGATGTACTGTGCGTTCAGAGATGCTCTTCTGCCTACCTCGGTTGTAACGGGTGGTTATTTGAGTTGCTGTTGCCTTTCTATCAGCTCRAACCAGTCTGCCCATTCTCCTCTGACCTCTGGCATCAACAAGGCATTTCCGCCCACAGGACTGCCGCTCACTGGATGTTTTTCTTTTTCGGACCATTCTCTGTAAACCCTAGAGATGGTTGTGCGTGAAAATCCCAGTAGATCAGCAGTTTCTGAAATACTCAGACCAGCCCTTCTGGCACCAACAACCATGCCACGTTCAAAGGCAATCAAATCACCTTTCTTCCCCATACTGATGCTCGGTTTGAACTGCAGGAGATTGTCTTGACCATGTCTACATGCCTAAATGCACTGAGTTGCCGCCATGTGATTGGCTGATTAGAAATTAAGTGTTAACGAGCAGTTGGACAGGTGTACCTAATAAAGTGGCCGGTGAGTGTAGGTTGCCATTGTTCATGGCAATCCTAATAAATAAATAAGAAAGAGACCAGTTTAGAGGTGGATAATAATAGGTTGCCTGCCATTCAATTGAATGGCCCATTCTATTGAATTTGGCAGTGCAGTCCTAATAAAGAAGATAGGATGACATGCTTTCTGTTCAGTTTTTTAAGACTCTTTGTTTTGTGTACAGGTTGGGCTCTCACCTCAGCCCATCGGGGACAGAGTGCTACATCACATCAGACATGTTTTACGTGGAGGTACAGCTGGACACCAGCGGACAGCTTTTAGATGTGAAGGTTGCACACCAAGGGGAAAACCCAACGGTCAGTTTGTTTTAGTTTTGTTGCAAGAAGAAACTTGTTGAAAAATTAAGACTGTTTATTTATGCTCTGCAGCCACAGATTTGCTGCAGTTGCCTCTTTTACAAAAAGGAGTGTATTTTTATTTTTAAAATATTTTTCATTTGTTCGAATTTCTGTAACGTCTTACATAGAGATTGAACTTAATGTTTTTTTTTAATTTTTTCTCTTGTATTTGCTGGTAACAGAGTTGTCCCGAGCTGATTCAACACCTAAGGTTTGTTGAAAGAACACAGTTATAAACCTCACAATAAACTCTTACTTAAGATTTACATTTTAATTATGGGTAATGTTTAATGCACCAGTAGTAAATACTTGAATAATAGTTGTCCCATTTTTTTCATCAGCGAAAAGAACTTTGAAGAGTTCTCTAAACACCTCAAAGGACTGGTTGATTTGTACAAGCTTCCTGGTGACAAGTAAGTAAAGTTGTAAATCATAAAGTTGTCCTTAAAGCTATCATCAGAATGTAATACTGCTGTCATTTTTAAACAAATGTTTGGCCTTTAGAGACCATATTTTTTCCCTCTTTAGTTAAACCAAAGTAATTTGTAAGGATTAATCAGTAGAAATCAGATTCCAAGTTTAATGATCAAGACGTATTTGGACTGAAATACAAAACCTTAGATACAGCTAAAATCTTCTTTTGAAGTAAATACAGTTTCAGTATATCTGATGTTCAACACTGTTTGATTTCCAATCCAATGTGAAACAGCATTTAGAAATGAAGGTTTTAAAGTGTGCACATAAATTTRTAGATACCTTTGACAAATTTCACATGCTGTGTGGGTTTTGTGGAATACACCATTTATTTATATAAAAAGAATTTCTATGTTTCAGTAAACTGAAAACAAAGATGTATATAGCACTGCAGTCCCTGGAGCTTGATCTCACCAAGATGATGCAGATGTTTAGGTGAGTTTAAAGAAAATTATTCTTCATTTGCACCATTACATGTTGATTAATGTTTAGTAAATGACTGGAGGCTGTAAATTCAATGGTGTTTTTGTGAACTCCCATCAAATTGTGTGAATAATCACGGAATAAAAATATTAGTGCAGATCTCTCATGACTTTAAAGCGGACATGTCATGCAAATTTTGATTTTTTTTTTTTAGCTGTTGAATGCATTTTGTACTTGGAGTCTCTTTGACTGTAGAGAAGTTGAATTTAGGCTATCTTGTTGTAGAAATCTTTATATTCTATTTGGATCATATTTTTCAACCCATTCAGTTTTTGTACAAAATCCATATATAAATAGTTCATTAGTCCTTACCATGTCGACCTGCAATTGACCAGGCTAATAGCAACTGAAATAAAAGATTTTTTTCAGTGTGGTCATCTTACACTATTGCATTCTGTATCTCTGTCTGAAAGGTAAAAGGGAACATTTTCTCACAAAGAATGGCTAGGATTAGCCAAAAATAATCCTAGCCTTCTTTAAAGACTTGGAATTATAGAGATCACTCAGGTCATTAAGAAACATGCCAGCAATTTGACAATAAACCTCGATAAGGGATTCTTATTTTTGATGGAAAGTGACCCGTCCCAACAGATTAAAGCAAAAGTGAGAACTGATTCAATAAAACCAAAATAAAACATCTTCATAAAAACAGAGTTGACTTTAAATGAATAAAGCTTGCGATAACAGTGCATACGCTAGTGTTCTTTCTTTACAACACACCGTTTTACACACCTGTGACTCAAAACTCAATTTTTCTTCAATGAGTACTCCCAAGTATTTATACTGTGGTTCCAGCTCTACTGTTTGACCATTAATTACCACTGCGGAAATTTGTGTGGGGATTTTCTCAAAGTCTATGCAAATGTCTTTTGTTTCAGTCATGTTATTACTTTTATAAAGATTCTCGACACCAATTTAAAAAGTCATTGACAACCAAACCATGTTCAGGGATTTTCCTGCTAGGTAGTGACGCAAACGATGGCATCAGCAAATTTAATAATGTGATGTCCAATGTGATGGCTCTTGCAGTCATTAAACATATAATAGAGGTGAGAGGACACCTGTAGAAGAAAAATAAATGATACGATGAATGATAGATAGTTCATATTTGAATGAATATTTGGGATGTTAATGAAGAAGTGTAAAGTAACTTTTATGAATTTTGACCATGACTATAGTAAAATTGAATTTAGATGTTTTAACAGAATCAGTAAAAAGAGTCACTTCCTATCGTTTATCTAAATTGTCTTGTGAATTTCTGATTTAGAGTAAAAAAATTCATGTACCTGCTTTGCTAATTCTTGTTATGTTTTCTAGGTTAGCAACAAATGCTAACACAGTTGAAACAATCCTCCATGGGAGTGTGGGCTTGTTGACAGCCAGGAGTGGTGGCCATCTGGTTTCTCTTCACTGCTATGTGTCACCCTATGACATATTTGAGGTGGAAACRGGCTCACAGCTCAACGTATCAGATAGCAATGGTAAGTTTTTAAAGAATAATTCAGACAAGTAGCTGCAGGAAGATGGACACACCAGCAATTGTCGTCGTATAGCCTTTTTTTTTGTAATATTCATCTTAAGTGTGGAATCTTGTTTTTGCAGTACCGAGTTCTTTGGGCATTAGTGTCTCCGTGACAATCGAGGGAACATCTTCTGTGTACAAACTTCCAATTGCACCCCTCATCACTGGATCCCACCCAATTGACAACAAAGGGTGAGAGAAGATGTATCATTTTGTCAAGATACTTTGCAGTTATAGAAAACCTTTTATAGCATACAGCCGGGACAAGCGGAATATATATGAATATGAACAAATAGKTTTTTTTCTGAATTTCAGCACACCTTCCTTTTCCACTGTGACCAACTCCAACTGTGTAGATCTGCCAGCTTGTTTTTTCCTCAAGATGAACCGCCCCATGCCTTTCTCACTTTCCTTTATTCAAAGGATAAGCAGTGCTACTTGTAAGTTATAAATACTTTGTGCAGATGTCATAAACCTGCTCAGAAATGCATATTTGCTTAAAATCTTAAACTTAACCTTTTTCCCCCAGCAATCTCAGTGTTTGAGACTTCTCCCAGCCTCTCACCTCTCTACCAGCTGATTGTTCAGAGTCRGCTGCAGCTCCTGGAGGAGAGCAGCTCTGTGCCACCTTCACTGCACAACATGCACTTTTATTCTGTGAGCTGATGCACGCAACACAATCACACAGTGGATTTTTTTAATCAGTTCWTTTATTTTTGTTTATGTCTAAATCAGTGATGTCCAATCCTTGTTCTTGAAGGCCGCTATCCTGCATGTTTTAGATGTTTGTTTTTTTTTTTTTTGCTTTGACATTCTTTATTTGTATGAATGAGGGATTATTGGGTTTCTGCAGAAATTGAAGACTTGCTGAAGAGCTGGGAAACCACTAAAAATGCAGGATAGTGGTCCTCGAGGACCAGAATTGGACACCACTGGTCTCCATGTTATTTATTCATTTTTTAATAAAAAATGTTTCTCATTTCTTTTTCTTTTTTTTTATTTGTCACAATTACTCCATCTCTTCTAGTCTGTTTGTAAAATGTGCACTTAGTGATGCAGACTTTGTTTTGATGTACCTTTTTGTTTTTTTCATAGATTTTACCAGATCAACATCATTGCTACTTCCTGAATGGAGATGCCCCAGTGCAAGATGGTCATTCATTGCAAGGAGCAATGGTGTCCAAGATCCCCTTTCGTCACCCGGCACAGGTGCCCCTCTTGCTGGACATAATTCGCCACCAGGCAGCATACAACACCTTGATTGGCAGCTGTGTCAAGCGAACTTCTGTCAAAGAAGGTAGGAGTGTTATCTCCGACTTCTTGTATTTGAACCATCATCTTTAATGCATGTGTCTGTTGTCTTAAATTTACCAAATGTAATGTCCGATTTTGTTTTTCCAGACAGTGCAAGCCTCCTACAGTTTGAAGTTTGTCCACTTACTGACTCAAGTTTCAGCGTCTCATTCCAGCATCCAGTCAATGAATCATTAGTTTGTGGTGAGTCTTCACTTTTTTAAAATCTTAAATTTTTTATGACTTTTTTTTAGAGGAGTAAAGCTTTTCCTTTATAATGATATAAACCATTTTAAACAGAGGATATTAAATCAGTGATTCTGGAAGCAGTATAGTTTTGATAGTGAATGTGTCTTTTTACTATAACTCATACTTCTGTGTGTTGGATGTAACACCTGCTCTTATCAATATTAATTGTAAATTAAATAGAAATTTTAGTATTTCATTAAATCCCAAATTCTCTCTTCTATCTGATGTTTTTCATCTAGTTGTGATGGAGGTTATTGATTCCAGACAGGTGATCTGCAATCTGTATAAAGGACCATCAGATGCTTTGATCTGCACTGATGAATTCATAACCAAAGTTGTGCAGAGGTGAGGTTTTTAATATTATTAATTTTACAATTGTTTTTTTTTTATTTTTTATTGCACATGGTAATTGTTTTCTCATCCACATAGATGTATGTCTATTCCTGTTACCATGCGGGCCATTCGAAGGAAAGCTGAAACCATTCAGGCAGACACTCCAGCTCTTTCATTGATTGCACAAACCGTGGAGACCATGGTGAAGAATAACCCGCCGCCTTCTGGTAGTCCTACTTATAACATGACAATAGGTGATGGAACTAACCCCATTGGACTGACTGGGATTACTGAAGGCAACACACCTACTGGAGTAGGACCACCTGGGGGACCTAATTTTACAGGTCCGATCACTACGCTGTTTGGAATTTCTCGTGCAGACAGACAAGCTCAAGGAGTAGAGTGTGTAACCCCAGGCGGGGTGGCTGGTCAGCAGCAGCTTCAGCAACAACAACAAAGTCAAGGTCATACAGATGATTACAGTAAAGTCACTCAGAATCCCATCCTGACAAGTCTTTTACAAATAACTGGAAATGTGGGGTCCAGTCCCAGCTCCCAGAATGCACCACAACCCCACCAAACGCCACCCCCAACATCCTCCCCTGCTAGCAATACAAAGAATCATCCCATGTTGATGAATTTGCTGAAAGACAACCCCACACAAGATTTCGCTGCCCTGTACAGCTCTAGTCCATTAGAGAGACAAAATTCTTCATCTGACTCTCCACGGACAGATGGCATGAATTCTTCCTGTGCTGGAGTTAATGCCAAAGGGAAGAAGAAACGTCCCCGTGGACCTGAAAAGAGTGGGGTGTTGCCTGGAGCAGGTGCAGGTGGTGGTTTGGGTATTAAATCGCAGCAGGCGTCTATGTCCCAGCATCACTCTGTAACTCACGAGGATGACTTCCACCGTGAGCTCCTCTCTATGGACGTAGACGCATCTCAGAATTCTATCTTTGACGTTAACTTAACCAGCGACGGCCTTGAAACACCCCACAGCATCACTCCAGCTCCCAGCCAGTGTGGAACACCGCCCCCTGGTTCCAGCATGCCATACCCACTGTCTCACGTCCAGTCTCAGCAGCAACAACCTCCAGGCACAATACCACCACGTATGGTCCGCCTCCCCAGCTCTGACAGCATTGGGCCTGATATCACTGAAATTTTGCAAGATTTACCCGATCAAACAGGCAAAGGCAGCAGTGGAAGCCATGGGCAGCCCCCCATTGGCAGTGGTGAGGAGGACGGAGGCCCCCTTGGTACTCCCATTCGTGACTCCTCCAGCTCTGGTCAGGGCAGTGCAGTGTTTGACTCAACGGACATTTTTATTTCCAACAGCAATGAAAATCCCTTCACAGATGCAGCTGACCTGATTGAAGAGGCGGCTGTAACTGCTGTCACTCCCAACAGTGACGCTTCTTCCAACAATTTATTTCCCGATGCATCTGACTTCAACCCGGACCTCCTTTCACAAAGCATCTTCAATGAAAGCTCTCCAAGTGCTGATGAAGACATTGACCTAGGCAAAGGATTTGTGGGAACTAGTCAGCAAAATACTCCATCAGGAACCCCCCAGAATCCTACTTCACACGGACAGAGTACTCCAGAGGCCTCACTGAAGGACCCTTTTGATATGAGCATTGTTTATGGAGGCAACAGTGGCGGTGGTAAACCACTTCTGGGACAAGCACCTGACTTGGGAGACACTCATGGCGGAGGATCCCAGAGCCCCCTCATGATGGGGCTTGGTGCCACATGTGCTGATTTTAAAAATACAGAACCCAAAGTTAAACAGGGACTCATGCGTCCAAAGGATGAGAATGTGGGGAGTGGAGGTAGCAGTTCTGGATTGGGAATGGGGAGCAGCTCAACAGAGAGCAAACAGGTTAAACGAAGTAGAACCCCATCCAGTGAAGGAAAGTCCAAAGATAAGCCCCCCAAGCGTAAAAAGCTTGATCCTGATAGTAAATCCCCTTCCCACAGCTCAGGAGGGCGACCCTATACACCACCTAGTGGGGGTTTGGGCTCTGGAGGAAGCATAAGTGGCGGAGGCTCCAAGTCTCCTGGTAGTTCAGGGTGCTCACAAACGCCCCCTGGAGGTGCCACGCCTCCAATCCCCAAAATCACTATTCAGATCCAGAAAGGCACCATCACTGGGGGAAAAACATCCTCCCACAGTGGGTACACTTCCAGCAGCTCAGCCACAAGCAGTACAGGAGGTGCAAGTGGAGCAAGCAGCGGCAGCAGCAGCAAAAGCCACCATTCACACTCATCCTCTTCTGGGAAGATCAAGTCCAAAGAAGGCTCCATGTCACTGGGCAACAACTCCAAACCAGGAGTCGGAGGAGGGCCGTCCCAATTGAAAGGCTCCTCTCAAGGAATGGGTGTTGGCAAACCAGGATCCTCTCCTGTCACCAAACACGGGTTAACTGGACCTGGAGGTACTGGAGGTGGAATGGGAAGTGCTAATAAAATTAAACCTCAAGGAGGCAAGCCTCCTGGGTCACTTATGAATCCCAACATTAAACCTAACATTTCTCCTTCCCATTCTCGTTCCAGTAGCTCTGGTGATAAATTGTCCTCTCCAATGAAAATGCAGCAGTCCCAGGTTCCTGGAACACCCCCTTCTTCTAAGGCTAAATCTCCAATAGGGTCTGGGGGCGGGAACTCTGGTGGTTCCAAGTCTTCCTCTGGTGGAAATATTGGCTCCCAAAAGCCAGTTGGTGGGGGTACTTCCTCTTCGTCTTCCAGCATGTCTTCAGTTTCCATGAGTTTCTCAGGAGGCTCCCAGTCACAGTATGGGAACAGTGGCAGTGGAAGTGGAGGGACAGGAGGGGGTAGCGGAAGTGAAGGAAGTGGTGGTCCCGGTCAGAACAATGCAAATAACCCCAATGCCAAAGGGAAATCTCCCAGTCGGAACAAAAAACCTTCTCTAACAGCAGTCATAGATAAACTGAAGAGTGTGGGTGGAGGTGGAGTCGGGGAGGATGGTTGTGAGGTCGGGCCGCCTGTGGGGGGACCTGGTTCGGCTTCAACTCCTGGGGTTCCTGGAAATGTTCCCGGTGGACCCTCAAGCATGGGCTCTTCCAAGCACACCTCGTCCTCCCAAAGTGGAGAGTATAAGCGGGAAAAGTCTGATAAAGAGGCAAAATCTAAGGTGATGGTTTCAAGTGGCAGTGGTGGAGATAAGAAGGTAATGGAATCAAAAACAGGTGGCGTAGGGGGGGCCACTCTGGCCAAAATTATCATTAGCAAACCAGATAGTGGCTCGCCTAGCATCAAGGCTAAAGTGACTCTTCAGAAAACTGGAGAAGCCTCTTGTGAGTCGATGCGTTCGCAGATTTCTAGCCACAAAGCCTCTCCCCTCTTCAGTGGCTCCACTCCAAAACACGACCGCTCCTCGCCCAGCTACAGCCGCTCGCCGGGATACACCTCGCTCAATCACGACAGCGAGAGCGAATCGGGCAGCAGCTCGGTCGCCGAGAAGTCCCACCAGAACAGCCCCAGCTCAGACGACGACCAGACCACGCGCCCCATTCCCCCTCAAGACTACATGAGCTCCATCCCACTCAGCTCAGGCGAGAAGCACAAGAAGCACAAGAAAGAGAAGAAGAAGCTGAAAGAGAAGGAACGAGAGAGGGACAGGGAGAAAGAGAAGAAGAAGTCCTCCATGTCTATGGGCTCCTTATCACATTCGATGAAAGCAGACAGTTGGTCACGGTCTCCGATCTCGGCCTCAGATTCATCCCTTTCCATGCTTGGTTCGGATCGTCCATCCCGGTCCAGTCCCATCTATATGAGGAATGAGGATGATGATCTTATGGACTCGGCCCTCACTGGCAACCTTTAATTTGATCCTAAAGTTTTTAATTTTATTGTCTTGTGTGTATCATCTCTGCCTTTTAACGTACATTTTTATTTATTTAAGTCAAACCACACATTGGAACTGAATATGCAGATGTGGTTTTGAGTGATTATGGATCCGATAAAGCTGTATTTTAATGTTTATTAATTGTAATATTGTAATTGGGACAACAGTTTTACAAATGAAGCTGCCTCAATGTACATCTCTAGCTTCATTACAAAAGTGTTTTTAAAATGAATTATCTGACAAGTATACATTTTAGTCTTTTTTTTAAAAACAAAGCATTTTTAATATCAAATGTTTTCAGATGTTCTTTTTGTGCTTAATACATCTCGTAATGAGCATATGTGTTTGACGACACGTTWTTTGTTTGTATGCTGTCAAGATGAGCAACATAAGATCTGATGTATAAATATTGTAAAGTGAGAAAATTTTAGATGCAGCTGGGCATTTTTAGATTTTGCTAACTTGGTGTGTAAATTAGTGTAGCTATAGAAACTGATTGTGAAAAAAAATGTGAAAAATTAACTGTAAAATATTTGGAAGCATAAAATAAACATTTATTTCTGGCAAACTTCATCATACTGAATTGCTAGGAAATACGGTCTCTTCACGATTTTGATTGTGTTTCACTAGATGGCAGCAGAGCATCAGACTGTCGCCAAATGTTCATGTTGATTTGTGACACGTTACACAACCCAGGAGGTCATTCTTCAAGGTTAAATGGATTTTCACATCTTTATTCACACATCATAGAAGAGGATTTGTGAAATTATGATGCAGCAAGCTGCCAGAAATACACAAATAAATGTGTTTGAGTGGTTAGAAGTCGAAGGTAAAATCTTAGCTGTTCAGGTTGTCATCACAATATTTTTTAGATACAAACAATATCAGATCTAGATCACTTAAAATTAATCTGTGCGAACTATAAAATACAGCTAAGAGATTATCCTGAAGTATAGTAAGTGGTGCAGTTTCWAAGAATTCCCTCTAGATATTYGATAYGCAGTTCTGAAATGCAGGTATGYATTCAATRTAAACAAAGTACTCAGATGATTCCACTGAAACTCAAATGGAAGCTCGAGTCATTTTGGACAAGCTAAAGGTGATAGTGTCAGACTTTGTACCTAATGGCTCTTGTCATAGATGCCATTGATTAATTTTCAGTCATTTCAACTATTTTTGTGGGTAAACAAACATTAGTAAGCCGCTCCAAATATTTGCTTACAATTCTTTTTCATTTTGGAACACATCAAATATAATTAGGAAATACATAGTGTGGATTCATTATTATTATTATTATTATTATTTACTTTCTGAAAATTAGTCTTCATGACACTTCAGTGGGCACCTTTAATGAGACGCCCAGTTTAAAGGGGGCGTCATGTAAAATCCACATTTTTAGCTGTTACATTTTGTCGTGTAGGCCAACTTGGAATCTCTAGCAGCAGCAAAAGGTTGGATTTTGTTTCTCCCAGTGCTGAGTAGATATCTATATTTTATTGGGGTCAGTTTTCTACTTTCTATTATGTCAAATTATTTGCGATGGAACTGCCAAATAATGTTGGAATTTACCAACTACAAATTTGTCGTCTTCATTCTCTCCCTCAGAAAAGTGGTGAAAGACGGTTTTGTAATGTTGCAATAAGGAGGAATTCAARTTAAAGCAATGCAGTTCCACCTTATATAGACCAAAAAGGATTTAAATGCATGATGTGTGTCCTTTAAACCTCACCTGGTTTTATTTCTTTTCTGCAGTGGTGGGCAGCACTAATCTAAAAAATTAGTTCCCCTAAAACAATAACTCAAATATTTAGGTCCCCCTAATTCTAAAACACTAATGCACTAAAAGTTTAAGCAAAAACTAAGTCTAAAGCACTATAATAACCCAGTCAACCCATGAACATTCTTCAAAAGACAACATGTCACATATTGTCATGTTGCTCTCTTAAKACTTATCATTGATATGCCACAGCTGTATTTGAGTTCATATATTGTCACCTGGTGGATCAGTGACACATACATGTATACTGTATTAATAAAATGTATGACAGCTTTCACCATCAGCTGTTAACAATAACATTGATTGATAACATTTATAGATCTCAGTTAGGTGCTTCTGAATTTAGCCTGTAAATTTAGCAAGTGCTAATCCTCTAAAAAGATTAAAATTAGCAAAAGCACTAATCAGGAAATCAGTTCCCCTATTAGTGCTTTAGGGGAACTGTGCCCACCACTGCTGTTCTGTTTCAATAACTTCCTACAGTAAAAAAAAAAAAAACTTTTCTTGACAGCTCTTGTCTATGCACAAAAGTTTGAATTGACTTTAATGTTAAGACATAAAAGTACAAATCTGATGCAWAGCCTGAATAGATTCTGTCACAGAATGGAGCCACTTTTTCACTTTGGAGGTGAAGATGCAGAGCGCGACATGAGTTCAGCAAATTGCCATCTCCCTCCATGCGATTAAGGGCTGCAGGTCACTGCTGCTGAGGAAGCGWTACAGCATGAAAATAACCCCCCAGTTCAAGAAGCAGGCACAAGGAGGGACAGGGTGGGGAGCCATTTCTCACTTAGTCAAGCTTTATGGCTGCACACAGTCAGCTGTCTGCAGAGGGAGGGGAGAGAAGGAAGAGGAAGGAAGAATAAAGGCAGAGGAAGGATAAAGTCGAGATTTATTTTCAGCTATGGAGTGCAGCATTTTAAACTCTCATCACAGCACAAGAGCCTAAACTCTGCTGAGTGCAGCAGCTGCAGTAAAACATGGTATTAGTCCTGAAGGTTGAGCAGAAATCCTGGGATTGATATGTAATGTTACTGTGACAATTGTTTGTWTCTTTGTGAGCAAGGACATGCAGATTAGGATCGCTGCATATTAATTGTTCTGACAAGAGAAGAGCATTCACAGCTGAATGGATGAAGGCTGAGAATTAATTCAGCACACTTTTTTGTTGTTGTTATCAGACTGCTGCAGATGAATCATAAACTAAACCACAGATTTATTAATATCTCTTTTTTCTCAAAAGTCATTTGAGAATGACATTTCTTTGCTTTCATTTTTTTTTTTTTTTTGGTTGTGTGACTTTGCAAGTCTTTTTTTAAGTGCTGTTCTGAAGGGAAAAGTGTCCACTAACTGGATGAAGTTTGACGATTTGTGCTGAGGCAAACTGAAGTGAGCGGCTGTAAAAAATGTACTGCTGGTGAAGCATCAGCAAAACTATGGGAGGAGGGGAGGTGCATCTCAGTTCACTAATATGTTGCAGCATCTTTTACTTATAGTCAAAAATCCCTGCAGGAACTGCAGATCTGTACACACAGCACTGCTTCCAGTTAATGTGAAAACTATTTAGAAATTTACCGTCGTATACATTTTCATTTTCAATACATAAAAATAGGCCTATTATATAACATTTCTAACATTTGTTTCTGACTGAAGCCTCTTTTGGTCTCCTGAGTGACTCTGTTTTGGAGTAATTATCACCAGCCGCCAAATAGGGCGATAACAGCTAAGCAACCGTAGCAAACCTAAAAATAGCTGAAGTTCAGTCAGTTTTGCAGATATTGAGCTAAAAATGAATGTGATAATAGCTGAGAGTATTTTCCATCTCATTGCACCACATCCGTGCAGAAAGCTTTCAGATAGTATTCAGTGGATGCATCTAAAACTAGAGAATTTTTGGAAGCCTAACTCAACGTGGCCGCCTCAGGTAATCATCCAACACTAAAAAGCCAAATTACAAATCATGGGCTAAATTTTGTTATAGCGTCAGCTCAGAATCCAAGATTTTAAAATCGAATGTGATTTTTAGATGTGCTTTTATTGTTTCACATTCCAAGATAAGCCTTTCCAGAGGAGCTGTTAAACTGTCTCTCACAGACGTTTTATTTTTCTCTCATTCAAGCTGAGGATTCATTCATTCAAACTTAGACTGTTATCTTTTTTTATAAAGTCAAACCAGGAGCCGCTTGCTGGAGGGTTGATATTCATGTGGATCATTTAATTCTGTTTTTCCTGACAGCAGCTGCATTTCTGAGCAACAATATGTGGGACACATTAAAAACTAATGGGAGTCCAAAAGTCCCAATAATCCCTGCAGGCCTGAGGTGTGAGTCAGCACACGGCAGCGCCAACACTTTTCTGGCATTTCGAACACAAACCCCAGCGTCTCTCCTGCCAGCTGTCCGTACGTCCTGCCAAGCCCTTTATTTTCCCATGTCTCCTCTCTCTCTCTGAGTCACTGCAGGTGATAATCCATCATTTTCAAAGTGTTTACAGGAGCTACATGCTATATCTCTTTGGGAGAAGATGTAACTCCAATAAGTACTTCAAGTTTTTTCTGCCCCATTTGGTCGATTAGAAAGACTTCACCTCCTGAGGGTCTATTAAAATTTTGTTCTCCAACACAGTAATATTTAAACTTTAGAACATTATTGTAATTAGACTGAACAATGTGTTTTTTAAATAAATGTAAAAACTTTTCATTGTCATCAAATGTCTTTCTGTGCTCGAAACACTGAAATATTGTTTTAATGCACTTTAAGCTTAATTTAAATTTTTTACTTAATGTTTTCCCTCAAATTATGACTAATTTAGCTTTTAATTTCCTTCTGAAACTGACAGCCTCTACTGTACATTAGTTCTGATTAAAGATATTACGCCTAAACCATAAAATGTTTTTATTTGTCATCAATAGCTAATTTAATAAGAAAACATAAAAAATCAATACAAACAGTCAATTATAATTTTATTCTGATAAATCAGTTTAGTTATATTAAGATTTGTTTGACCTCAATTGGCTCCATCTTGTTTTTTTTATTTTTCAAAGACGTTTGAGACTTTACTTTGAACTTTTACTACCGTTTAAGACGCCAATCATAAATGCCTACTTTGTCCTTTACTCAAACATTTTATTTATTCCTGTAAGAGCCCTTCTACAAAAAACAAAACAAAAACAAAAGATCGGTAAACGTTGTGCCTGTGCATCTTAATTTTCAAATGCTGACATCATGCACMGATTTTTTTCTTACTCTAAATCTAACAATTGGGTGAATTTTAAAGGTTCAAAATGACATGCAAAACGTTTCGTATAATGTGCATAAAATGTTGAGCATAAATTTTTTATGTGCCGGCAGAAAAAGGTCCATAAATATTGTATAATGATGTGTTTCTAAGAGATGTATCTGACACATTTCAAAGAAACATTTGTGTTATTTGTATTACTTGCATTGTGAGAAAAGAAACAAACTCTTGATAAATTGGCTTTAAATTAAAGTTTCTTTGAATGTTTTGGGCAATCTAGACAAATATGAGATTGCTGCATCCCCTTTTGTTACTCATGTTTTATTTTGTTGTTTCAAATTCATGTTTATCTGACAGACAGAATAAGTGGGTCATGTGGACTCGGTTTACGGTGAAAAATCTTCAGCATGTTAAATAAAAAAACAGGTTGCTTCAGACACGACATTTTGTTGGTTACGTCACGGGAGAGATGTGTCTCCTGTCAGGTTCATTGGTTTTAATGTTTGACCCAGATCCAGCTGGGGTGTGTAGATGTTCGTCGCATCAAGATTACATTTAAAAAGAGCTTTCTTGTTTAAAAAAAATACCCACCAGTATTGTCATAAACTGCAACTTTAAGGAGGTTTAGGATTTCTTTTTACACCTCACAAGGTAAATGGAATATGCAGTTTCTGTTGTCTTTTCTGAGCCCATAAGCTTTGCAAACTCTTTGAATTATGTTGCCTCACAAATATTTTATTTTTATGGAAAATTGCAACGTTTGAAAGAAATTGTTCAGAGTTTTTCATGTGGAGTTCTATGAGATTATGAATGCTTTACATCTTACCTAAGTTAGTTCTGTTTGGGAAAACAGACAAATTAAAGTTAGTTTGTTGAGCTAACAGCTAGTCCAGGTGAGGCTGAGAACAAAGTTCATCTCAAACATGTCATAGCAACATAAACRCTGCTTAATAATTGTAACACTGATGTCAAGTTGGCATTACATAGAGAAGGTAGGGATAACTCAAATCAAGTCAAAGTTCATTCATATAGCACATTTACAACAATCTCAGTTAACCAAAGTCACAACAATTACATCACATTTAGCTAAGGACAAAACAAAAAAAACTAATAAAACAAAAAAAAATTGTAAAATAATAAAAACACTAATAAAATTGGCAGTAAAATACCAAAAAAATAATAACTCGAATAAAAATCAGACATGCTTGATTTCAGTTGCAGCAGTTTCCCCAAAACCTCAAATCAAATTAAGTACTAACTTTTCCTTTATTTAAAGATGAAGTCCAGGGAAAATAGACTTAAACTGACCCAGTGACTGAGAAAGTTTAACAGATTATTCCAGTCTGGATAACTGTACCTAGCTGGGGTACTTTTGGCTGGAATATCATAATGTTTCTGCTGTATAATGATGTAATGCAGTACTGATGTCAACATAAAAGGTTTTAAACTTAAATCACATTAACTGCCATAGATGTTTTTTTAGACTAACATTGTTTTGAGATGACACCAATACTCTGAAGTCAGTCTAAGAGTTATCTATGACATGTAAGATATTAATTGTTCATGGGAGTRTCTCCCACCACATTCTGCCATAGCAAATGGAAGAAGCACTTTCAGATTCTGTCAAAGCCATGGTTTCTGCCCCAACCTTTGACAACTTAATGTAGCTCCCCCTATGGAGGCAAGATCCATCCATCCATCCATCCATCCATCCATCCATCCATCCATCCATCCATCCATCCATCCATCCATCCATCCATCCATCCATCCATTTCTTTTCAGAGTCACGGGTGTCACTGGTGCCCATGTCCAGCATTCACTGTGCGAGCAGCGGGGTACACGCAAGTCCACCCCATCATAAAAGGCATCATGTATAGTTTTAAAAAAATGTTTTTAATTAATTATGTATTTTCCAGGCACAATGTTCAATTCTATGCCACAATCAAGTAACAATGTTACATTCAGTTGTTATAGTAAAAACGCTGTATCTATCAAAAATAAAATTGACATTGCATCATAGTCTATCTAAACACTTTGAAATTGGCCTCTGTCTCTTTAAGAACTTCCTACCATTTTGGACACTCCCACTTCAGCAGGTCTTCACAACAATGCTTTGGGGGAGGAGTTCTCTGTGGGGGTGGAAGCACAGCTGCTGACTGAGCTCCAGGGAGGAGCTTTGTGTAAATAGGTGGAGCTTTGTACCAGCAAGCATTTAAGCAGCTCCACAGAAAACATTCACAAATGAGTCAAAGCAGCACTTGTATGTTTTTGATGAGTGAATGACATTATAACATGAAGATGATACAGATAGAATTTGTTAAAATACAAAGTTGGTTTCAAATTAAAAAGCTATCATTAAATTTGAATAAAACTTACTATATTTACTAATAGAAAAATAGCAGTTGCTGTTCAATTTAAAATTGATGGTGTTACAATTGGCAGAGTCAGTGAAGTTAGGTTTTTGGGTGTCGCTATCAATGAGAAGCTGACTTGGAGATCACACATAAATAATCTAAAAGTAAAAATAGTTAGATCAATTGCAGTATTGTAAAAAGCTCAAGAGTTATTTAATGACAAATCTCTACATATGTTGTATAATGCAATAATAGTTCCGTACCACATATATTGTATTGAAATATGGGGAAAAGCATGTAAAATGATAATAAACTCCATTTTTATTTTTGCAGAAAAGAGCAATAAGAGTTATTAAAACACTACAGTCACCCAACAAATATATTGTTTTGTCAATTGGAATTATTAAAACTTCATGAGTTGGTTGATTACAGTATTCCACAGCTTATGTTTGAGGCTCATAAAAACATGCTACCTTTGAGTATACAGTTAAATTTTATTAAAAGAGAAAGCTCTTATAATTCAAAGGGAAATGAAATATATGTGAAGCACAGATTTCAAACAAGTTTGAGGGAACGTCGATACAGGGAGTGAAATGGAACGATCTGGAAAGTGATGTTAGAAATGCTGGATCATTGTTTGTGTTTAAAAGAATGATTAAACTTGGTTTATTGAACAAATATAAATTAGAATAATGGGTATTTATGTATGTTTTATTTGTTGTTGTTTCTGTTTTGTTGTATTTTGTAACCAGAAGATTAACATTTCTTCTTCTTTTTTTCTTTGTAAAAAGGGGCAGATATTATAAGATTTTTTCTTCGTTCTGTTGCCTTTCATTTTATTTTGTGATATAAGTTTTGTATTTTCTGTAATGTAAACTTTTTTGTTTTAAATTAAATGAGTAAAAGAATAAAAATAAAAACATAAAAAATAACATGATGTAAAACTCAAAAAAGATGATTTTGCAAACACTCCCCCCAGTACGCCAAAACAGCAAAGGTTTGTTTAATACTGCAGTTAGTTGCAAACACTGATCAATCAAAACCCGTTTTCACAAGTATGAAACCAATCCTGCCTCAAAAATAATCTACTAAAGTCACTGAGCTTTTTCATGTAATTATGACAGAAGTTCTTAATTAATGTTATAATCCACTTTACTGTAATGATATTGAATAAACAGGGACTGTCAAGCTGTTTCTGACAGCCATAAAAATAACTGGGACATGGTGTACAGGTCTGCACTAAGTGATCAGTTTCACCAAACAGTTGAGCACATTTTTAGGAATCAAAACAAATTCACACGCCTTCTTCTGCAAGAAGCTATAATTAGTGCCTTTGCTTTGTTCTGAACTGTTTCTATATTTAACCCAACGTGATGGAGTGTATAACACTTGGTACGTGTGGTGTTGTTGCTCGGTAAGGAGAAGGGATTAGATGAAGCCTGGTAATTAGTGAGACACTTTGCAGAGAAGCATGGAGGCGAGCGGAGCTGTCCTTGGTGCTGAATCAGCCGCCCAGGCTCTGCTGATGGTGCTCTCTGTGGRCCACATCTTGGGATGGGTTTAACCTACATCTTTATTCTTTTTCGTAATGAATTCAACACAAGGAGAACAGTTTTTGAACTTTTTGAGCAAGGGGATTTTGATTATGTTTTTAAACTTTGGTAAGATTCAACCCTGTCTGTCTGTTAGCAAAATATCTCCTTAAAACCCCTGGGTTGGTTTTATTGAAACGTTCAGGAAAAGACAGGCTAAATTCCTTGTTTGAGCTCTCAGCGTCATCTCCTCTCAGCCAATCAGGACGAGCTTTTATGCCCCTGATTTTGACGGGTTTCTTTTGTCTGTCGCTCTGGACCAATCAGAAGGAGCTACACACTTTGTGACGGCGAAATCAAAGTTGTTGTAAAAGGAGTGCGCGCGAGTGTGTGCGCGAGGCGGACGGGAGACGGAGAAAAAAAGAGCAGGATACTTTTTTATTTTTTTAAACAATTAGTCTGATTTTTAACAATTCAGAGTTTCAAATCTGTGAGAAAGACGCTCATTTTTCGACGGGGGAAAAAAATAAATCTTTAAAAAATGTTGCTGATAAAATAATGTGTCGACCGTCTGAATCTTATCTCTTCGCGCGAGACTGTAGCGCCGTTCAGAGCTCTGCATGAGGAGTTTTCCTGCTCCTCTGTCGCCGCGGACTTCAGGTTTGCTGCTGAAGGAGGGTTGTCTTGATTCGAGATGACGGAGATCAGCGAGAAGGAGAGCGAGCCTCAGAACCGGGACCTCAGCAGGCAGGGCACCAGCCAACCAGAGTCAAAGGTAACGCTACACCTGTTCAAACATCTGTTTTTTTACTGCCTAATTATCTGGGATTAAAGCGTGGGTTATTTCTTTAATGAAATGTTTTATTAACTCTGCTTTAACTGGTAAGGTGTTATGTTTGTGAAGCCAATTTAGTGACTAAGCACGCGCTTTTTCTGTCCTGTGAAGCTAATTCTGTGGTGCCCGTGGGTCTTACATAACAAGTCTAAGCTGCTGTAATTCTCCTACCTTACCTGACCTCAAAGTTAGAGAGCAGAGATTACACAGAAAGGTGTGTCTGCTCTGTCTGACATGCGTGGTGCGACCACAAATAACACTTCTCTTTCTTCTCTGCTTTTTTCCACCATAACATGAGGATTTATTATTAAAAGCGCCTTCATCCATATCTGATTTTCAGAGACTCTCATTGGTGTGACTGGAAGTTAGGACTTAATATCTGGGGCTCAGCAAATAGACAGATAATCTAAACCAGGGGTTCTTAACTAGTCTGGCTTCATGAACCGTTAACGTGACCCAAACTGGTGAAAAGTTTAAACTTCTCAGATTTATTGAATGAGAAAGATGGTTGTGTTTAAGCCTCAGATATCACACATTCACAAAAACAAGTTTAACAAGAAATCAAAATGACATGGCCATAGAGAGAGAAATATTCCCTTTTACGCACAGTTAACTGCATTTTAAAGTTGAAATGCATCACATCAGTGACTTCATCCTTTATGTTCACAAACGTGAAATAAAGAAGTCCAACTGAGAAATTATTTCACATTGTCTCAAAATTTGTAGCTTTAGCTGAAATGTCTTAAAGCCATTAAACTATTCAGTAGTTAATTTATTTGTAACCGTAAATATTGGTGTTTTCACTCGGCCGCAAAGTAAAATACGAACAAAGATTTGAAAAATAAAGTACAAAATACATTTTAAAGGACCAACTCAAAGAAACAAAAGAAAACTCTTATCATTTATGTATTTTAAAAAAATCCTGGTATGTTTAAGGACATAATTATCTAAGAGATGCAATAGTAGACAAGTGCATACAATGATTGGTTATTTCAGAGCTCAGTGCCAAATTGAAGATTTTAACCTGTACAAATCCCTTTAGACTTTTATTTTTATCCTGAGACAGCCGGGTGATACCCTGCTGCTTGTGTGGGGTCACGTCAGTCCAGGATCAGAAGGTATTGCACTCAGACGACCAAAAGTACGTAAATAAAAGGAGTCCAGATCATCTCCGAAGGTGGTCTGAGCAAAAACATTTTCAATGAGCACTGAGGGTGTTCAGACCTGAATGCAGTGCTGTCTACAGGTCACTCAGGACACGTCACAGGTCAGAGACTAAGGACCTGCTACTCTGTTTGTTTGTTTTTTTACTCGGCTCRTTTTGTTTTCAAGATTTTCTACTGTTTAGCTGATTCCTTTTTAAGTYATACAAAATAAACTCGGTTAGCTGAATTGGTTCCCCCTCATCAAAATGACATACATCCTGGTTCGTGTTTGTTTTCCCACACTTCCAGCAAAGCGCTAACAACAACCTCCGCTGCCAAATACTGCGGCGCAATTTAGATTGTGATTTCTCACAACAGAGACCYGGAAGAAAAAGTTCAGCACAGCAGGGTTGTTTTTTGTTTCTGTTGGCCTACAGACAGCCCAATGAAACCGTGGACAGTGAAGGGCTGAATAAATTTATGAGCCAATCAGCTGGCAGATGTTTGCCGTGCCTCGCTGCGAGCCAGGTCATAATTCAGCCAAATGGACGTCATGACAAAACAGAAATGGGAGGAGATGGTCTTCCAAGCTGCATCAGCTCTGATGTTTGCCAAGTTCCTGCTGACGGCCCGGCCTGTTTAACACGCTGCGAAGGACTGAAGAGGAAAGAGGAGGGAGTTCATTAAAAAAATGTGCCACATCTGGGGTCTCTTTAAGAGCTGTTTGCTTTAAGACGTCTCTGGAGCTTCACTTGAATCTTTCAGTGACTCTCAGTCGTCTCACCTCGTTCCAATCATTTCATAACCATCTCAGCTTTTGTCCCTCTTCTGCATCAGAGTCTTGCTCACTTCCCCTCACCGTCTCCTTCCACAATCGTTTCTCAGCCCGTCAGCATCTCTCCCTTCATGTCTCACTCCTCTTCCTTGCCGTCTCTCCACTTCTCCCTCAGAGTATTTATTACATTGCTAAGTGGGCCCACCAGCTTTCTAGAGTGCTTCTAATAGAGGCAGTGACAGACAATGAATAGTTATTCCACCTCCTCCTCCTACAGGCAAGGTGATGGCTCCAAAAATATTATTAGACCTCTGTAAYCACTTTCAGCACTTTCCGTTCCAGTATCTTACCTATAAGATTGTTTTATCAATAATATTAGTATATCTGTATCATACTGTAGACTGAGCCAGTGTAATCCAGCTTTTAGTCCTCTGATAATTCAAACTGATAGGAGGTCCTAATAGCAATTGTCAGAACCTGTTATGATATTTTCTGCTAAGAAAATTAAATGTTGACAACAGGTTTTAAATTGACCTTATTATCCAGAGAAATTGTTGTACACTTTGGAGCTCAGAAGCGAAAAATCTATGATGCCAAACAGTTCATTTGATCTCTATGTTGTTTCATAGCCGATGAAATGAGAGTTTTCCGGTACATAAAGTTTAATAAAGTCTTTGGAGTGGACGTAACTGCTGATAAAGCAGGTTGGTSTGCACAGTTCGCTGCGTATTTGGCAAACACAAAGAGATTTTTATGGGACTGAAAATGATGGAAGTGCTTTCTATCCAGCTTTGTCCCTCACCTTTTACTTCACTCTCACCTCCTTATCAGTTTTTCCTTTACTTTATGGCCTGCACAGATTATATATTTCCTTTCTTTTTCCAATTTACCCTGTCCAGTGACCTTTTCTAGTTGTCCCTCACTTCTCTATCTTTATTTTTAGGTCTCTGCTCTACCATCACTCTTTGTTTTCTAACATGCTGTTATTTCCCCATGGCTCCTTTACATATACACATCAGTTTTACAGAAACACATGACTGTTTAGTGGAGACAGTAAGACACTTTTGATTACTGCAATAAGAGAAAAAGAAGAATATTGATTAAAGCATTTGAAAAACAAGTGAACTTTTTCAGTTTCCAGCAGCACCTTTGTTCATTCCTTGCTGACTGATGGTGTCTAATATTTATTAAATTGCTTGATTTGCTTCAGGAATGCTGATGAATCAGTAGAGTTTACAGTGTTAGATTAGGTGGAGTCAGTTGGGAATGAACRTGAACTCTGTTCACTTCTCAGATGTACTGAAATAATAATAAAGGTGACTAGTTTGCAAAAACTGCTTTTCGTAGAAGGTTTACATTTAATAAAATAAGTACATTTTACATAAATAGTACTTCTCAATTTAAAAATCAAAAGGTACTTTGCACCAAAATAATTTAGGTTACAAGATAAAATAAACCAAGTTAAAATAGAAAGCATRAAAGCCAATTGAGATAAAAACATAAAATAGAACGCTAGCAAAATGCTCATCTACAAAGATTAAACTT